GCCCAACCTCAAGACCTGCGGAGTTCAACTCCCAGAATTCCCTAGCCAGCTATATTACGCTGGCTGGGGAATTCTGGGAGTTGACCTCCGCAGGTCTTAAAGTGGCCCCTGGTCTCAAGCATTTGGTGCAAAACTGGGCATGCTCTACTGAACTGGGGGCGTTGTTATTCCAGTCTTTGAGGGATTGGGGGGGGGTGGGGGGGGGGGGGTACCGGTGTTGGGTTTGGGCCTGGAAAGGTTCTTGCGTGCCAAGAGCTGATCGGAGGCCCCTCGCGTGGTGTTAGGAAGCCTGGAACCCCAAGAGTTTTTCTATGGCGGCATTGATGTCTCCTCCGGTGGCGATGAGGGCCTGGAGGTTGGCCTCGCGGTTGATGAAGCCCATGGCGCTCAGCTGCTCCAGCTGTTGCTGGAACCGGACCTCTGGGCTCTGGGCCTGCTGTGAAAAGGAAAAAACCGCTCGTGAGCTGCTGAGCAACAGGCGTGGCTGTCGGTCTGTTCCCAACCGCTATCCAAGTGGCATCGCCTCCCAGCTGTCTGAACTGACCCTACTGGCCCTACTAAAACTCTGGGGCCGGCAGCCTGTAAGTGGGCAGAACCAGGCACTGCAGGGCAACTGTCTAGGATAGCGGTCACCAACTGGTGCTCCGTGAGAAAATGTTGGTGGTCTGCAGAGAAATGTCCCCCCCCAAAAGCAATTAATCCAGGCTGAGCGGGAACACAAGGGGGGGAACTTGCCCCACGCACCTGGCCTGGCCACCGGGCTGCTTCTTTCCGCTTCTTTCTTCTGCTTTTGGCTGCACGCAAGGAAAGCAGCCAAAGTCTTTTTCTTTCCCCCAAACTCCGCCAGAAATGAGTCTTTGGGGCCCTGCAAGGCCTCCTGCTCCAAGAGGCTGCGCCAGCACGACAATGAGTCACGACAAAGACTCATTTCTGGCGGAGTTTGAGGGAGAGAAAGGAAGACTTCTGCGGCTTCTGCTGCTTTCCTTGCATGAAGCCAAAAGTCCCCCCCCCCCCGCCAAGAACGGAGCTGGAGACGGTATCCCGTGATCCCAAATAAAGAATGATCGATCAGTAGGAAAACGGGGTGGGGAATATTCCTGCAGACTTTTCTGAGATTTTTCTCAGGGTCTCTGCTCCGCGGGATTTAAAATGATGAGTTTGGTGGTCCCCGAGGTCCAAAAGGTTGGCGACCCCTGGACCAGGAAGCAAAGTCAGTTCATGGGCTAATTTGCAAAATGGGTGCCAGAGCCCATGACTCTTGTGGAATTGAAATCGGGCAAACTTTATAAAACATGTTATGGCCTAAAAATTATAATAGGATGACATAATACAAACTATCCCCCAAGGAAGCGTGGTCGTTATTGAAATTGATCAGGAAATATCTCTGAAACTATGGCCCAAGAAGTCTAGTAGTAATTTATTGTATTTACAAACCAACCAATCACTAAGGACCCTGGCAGCTTACAGCTAAGAATACAGGTTAAAAGCCCAGGCAGTCCTGAAAGACGTAAACATTGAGCCACACTACAATCAAGGCCAGATGGAGCGAAGGGTCAGGCACCCTCTGGAAGAGATCGGGGAGCCATCCAAAGAGCCAAGGGAGGTGCTGAAAAGCAGGAGGCCCCCACCTGGCTCTCATTCCAAGATGGAAAAAGGAAAGGAACTTCCCAGACCCCTTGAAGTGGGGGGGGGGGGGGGAGCTGAGCAGTCAGAAGAGGACGAAGGCAGGTGGGGCACGAGGGGCAACCTCCGCCACTGCCTACCTGAGAGTTGGCGCTGGCCAGGAGCTGCACCATGTGCTGCATGAGCTGCTGGGAGGGGTTGCTGTCCCCAGCTGGGGCGGTGCTGGCAGGGGCCAAGCTGCTGGGCAAGGGGGGCTCCAGGACTGGGGTGCCGCCGGGGGGGGGGGGGGGGGGGGGCTGAGGGGCCCCAAGAGATCCCAGGCTGCAAGGCAAGAACACGCTTTGTTTAGCCAGCAGGAAGCAAAGCTGCAGGTGGGTCTGTCTGGCAGGTGGGAGGAAGATCCTCCCACTCTGGGACACGGTCCCCACCACCGGGCCCACCTCAGCCCCTTCGTACCTGGGCATGAGGCCTGGGGCCTCCGTCTGCAGCAGCTGGAGCCCCTGCTGGATCTGCAGCAAAGCCTGCATGGCCCGAGGGTTCGTCAGGACCGAGAGCGAGTCGGGGTTCTGCATCTGTGGGGGGGGGGGGGGGGGGCGCAAAAAAGAGCCACAGGTCTCCCCAAGGCCGCCACCGGGGGTGGGGGGAGGGGGCAGCTCTCCTTGTGGGTCCAGCACTCGGACCCAGAGCTGCAATGGGGGGGGAGGGGGGAAGAGCGGGGCTGAAAGGGAGGGCTGCGATTCTGGCCTCCAGGCCCCCCCCAGGCGCACCTGCTGCAGGAAGGCAGGCAGCTGAAGGCGCAGCTGCTCCTGAAGGGAAGGGTTGCCAGCAAAGACCGGAGCGTTGACCATCATCTGCAAGGGAACGGCAGCCAGGCTTAGTGGGCGGAGCCTCAGCCCTCCCAGGACTTTTGCCGTGGGGGCGAATAGGTGTGGGACAAGAGGGTGAAGGGCTCGTCCTCTGAGCTCGTGGGTTGGTTTCCGGACGTTTGGCCGGTGCAGGTCAATGGGCCCTCAACCTCGACCCACACCGAGACCAAGGAGCCCCGGTTCGGTTGGAGCAACACCACAACCATCGGCCACGTTTCCACCCGCCACGCCTGGCCCTCCCCAGGCAGCTCCACCAGCAGACCCCCTGGGCTCAACCAGGGGTCCAAATCAACCGCCCAGCCCACCAGAGGCGGCCCCCCCACAAAGCCCCCCCCCCACCGTTCCCCCCCCCCCAAGGCCCTCGCCTGATGTACCCTCCCTGTCACCAGACCCTCAGCCACAATCCGAAGACCCTCACTTGACCCACCCACCCCTGAAGCCCTAGGAACAGAAGAGCAGCGGCAGCCCCCAGACTCCTCGGAAGACGAAACCCACCACGAACCTCCACCCTCCCCAACTTCACTCCCACAGATCTATTACGACAGAGAGGAATCATTCAGCAACCACAACCGGGACCGGCCACTTGGTCGTTAAGCGAAGCTGAGTGAAACCATAACTGTGCTTTAGCCTCCGACTTGAGGCTCCTTCGCTTTATAAGCCTCCGAAGATCGTAAATGTGAGGGCTGGCTGCAGCTTTTTCATCCCCGTTGTAACCGCAGACGGTCACTAAATGAGGACACACACACACACCCCTGCCTTTTCCTGGAGGCAACCACGCTGCAAAGCTGCCCTGCAGAGGGAGGGACAAGAGCATCTCTCCAACTCCAACTGAGCAAAGGGGTCTCTCATTCCCCACCCCCCCCCCCCCCACTGCAGAGGGAGGGCCAACCGTTCTGGAGACCCAGAGCCCCCCCCCAACTCCCCCCCCCCCCCCACCCACCCCGGCCAGGTGTGAAAAGAGACTCACCTGAGCGGCGACCTCTGGGTTCTGGGCGAGGGTCTGCAACATCGTGCGCATGTAAGGAGCCGAAATCACGCTCTGCATCAGCTGAGGATTCTCGGAGACCTGCTGGAGGAGCCCCTGCATCTCGGGGCTGCTGAACATCCCTGTGGGGGTTGTGGGGGGGCGAAAGGGGGGTTCATCTGCAGGGAATCATGCCAGAGCGAGAATCCAACCCCCCCAAAAGCCTCTCTCGGTTAAAAGGAAGGAAGGAAGGAAAGAAGAATACAAGCGGTTTGGGGAAGGGGGGAGAAAGAGATGGAGGTGGGCATCTCAATCATGCCCGTCTGCGAAACACCCAGAAGATGCAGAAGGAAATGCCAGCGGAGTTACTGTCCTTTAGGGCAGGGGTCTCCAACCTTGGCAAGTTTAAGCCTGGAGGACTTCAACTCCCAGAATTCCCCAGCCAGCAAAGCTGGCTGGGG